TGTGACGCGCTTTTTGTCTAGTCTTGTATTTAATTATGCGAGCGCTAAGGTGGCTTTTCTTTTTTTCTAGACTTATTATAGCATCAGTAAAAGGAGGACAAACTTTAGAAAATTTTAAAATTCCTTTGAGAATGCATTTCGGACAATTATGTTTCTTTTCAATTCTGTGTGTTACAACTATATAGGAAAAAAATTTTATATTCAAATTAGCATAATGTATACAAGTTTGCACAAAAAACATCGTGATGTTACAAATTTGTAAAAGAACAACAGCAAACTTACATGGGTTATGAGAAATGCAGAAGTTGTGACATTAGATAAAATATGGATGGTTATGGTTAACAGGTATAAGCTAAAAAACAATGGTAAATTGAAACTATGATTTAAAAAACTACATATCTGTAAAAAGTTTGGACTTACTACAAACATAACGATATGGTACATAGTGTTGGAAAAACACCCCAGTATACATGGTGCAGTAGAAAGGCAGACTATAAAATTTGGGAAACACGCGATCTTGATTACGGTAAGATCACAGTTAAGCAGAATGATGGAGTGAAGATAGTGCACCGTAAAATAAAAAAAAAAAACCTGAAGAAAATTGTTTTAACTTACAGTAAAGTTGTGCACGATGTTGTGATACACAAAATGTAAATGGGAAAGGTTAACAGAATACAACAGAAAAGCATCGTCTTGACGTAAGGGAGAGACAGTGGATGTGAATGGTATTAAGAAAGGGGGTCGAAAAAGGGATTTTTTTAGGGTTAGGGAAATTTAGAAAATGAAGGAAGAAGTGGAAGTGAGACGTATGAGCACCCTACTGCGTATCCTATGGAAGGATGCACAGATAACGAAAACTTGCCGTACTTTAACACATTAATTATCTACTCCCCCTCCTCCCTAGCGGCTTCTCTTGGTCAAGTATGGATACCAAGTTTCATGTAGTTTTTGGCCAATGTTATTATTCATCATACTGTCAGGTTTTTTTTATTTTACGATGCATCTTCTTTACTCCATCATTTTGCTTAACTCAAAATGTTTTCTATTGATCTTACCGCAATCAAGATTACGTGTTTCCCAAATTTTATAGTCTTGCCTTTCTACTGCACCATGTATACTGGGGTGTTTTTCCAACACTATGTACCATATCGTTATGTTTGTAGTAAGTCCAAACTTTTTACAGATATGTAGTTTTTTAAATCATAGTTTCAATTTACCATTGTTTTTTAGCTTATACCTGTTAACCATAACCATCCATATTTTATCTAATGTCACAACTTCTGCATTTCTCATAACCCATGTAAGTTTGCTGTTGTTCTTTTACAAATTTGTAACATCACGATGTTTTTTGTGCAAACTTGTATACATTATGCTAATTTGAATATAAAATTTTTTTCCTATATAGTTGTAACACACAGAATTGAAAAGAAACATAATTGTCCGAAATGCATTCTCAAAGGAATTTTAAAATTTTCTAAAGTTTGTCCTCCTTTTACTGATGCTATAATAAGTCTAGAAAAAAAGAAAAGCCACCTTAGCGCTCGCATAATTAAATACAAAACTAGACAAAAAGTGCGTCACACAAAAATTATCTTAACAAATACAATGAAAGGAAATTGCGTGTAACGTACGTTTTTTGTTTTTTAAATTACACTAAGATTCGTAATATTTAATGAATTATGTTAATGTAGTATTGATCAATTTAGTTCTTCGACGTAAGTAATATAATTTACATTGAATTAAATTATAAATTATTTAAAAATTAATTTCGCCTGCTGATGAACTATTAATACGCTAATATCCAAAATACTATGATTACAGTACAGTATTTAAAATAAAAATTATACAATGAAATTATTACAATTAATTTTTATATTCTCTGAAATTATTATATAATTAAACTCACTTTGTAAGTTCATATGAATAAAGCATGATATTAAACAAATTAGTAATTTTTTTTACATCTTATACTCTATGCCACTATATAAGCGAGGGATTATTGATTTCTATAATATATTATACCGGTAGAAAGATTATATCAGGACCGGTTCTGGTAGGTGTGCATGCTTGCAAGAGGCCAAATTCCTAGTGCGGTCGATAGTACATTTTAAGAAATAAAATTCAAATGTAATTTAGTATTATTTTAATATTGTAGCCGGCGATGAAATAGATTAACGTTTGCGTAATGACTGATGATATAGTTATGTAGTTTATAGATATAATTAACCAAGCTTTATTTACGTAATATCTTATGATGAAGTTTAAGATTGCACTTACGTAACTCATCGTGAATGGTTGTATTAAATAATATAGGTACAAGATTTTATGTTTATGCCTGATTTTCATTGTGAATAAGGCTTTATTGCCGTACCGTTAGTATTAAGGCGATACTTACACCATTGTTTTAATTCTTGACGGAACCAAAAGAAGGAACGTTAGGAACGAAGGAAAGAAGGAGCGTGGTGCAGAAGGGGGTAAATTAATTAAATTAATTCAAATATTCATATTTAAATTAAGTTTTATTACACATGCGTACATATTGTATTTATATAAAAATTTCTTTAAACATCAAACAAATTGCAACATTATTAAACAGATTCAAAAATTTTTCGAAGGAATGCACGGTTACAGAAAGCATTGAAAAAGTAATTCCTCATTGTAAGAATTATGGGAACTCAATTAGCGGAAACACTACAGTACATCTAACATGCTAATTGTTGGTTGTTGCTATTTAAGTATTTCCATGCCGAGATGACCATTTTTTTGTGTGTGTGTGTGATTGATACAAAAGTTATTCTTGGTATGCTTGTAGATAATTAACACTTCTGATTTCTCCTTTAGTTTTGTCTTTAGCAATTACAAGCAACTTGGCGTGTTTAAAATAAAATGTTTTCTAGTAGTGCAAATATGACGGCTAACACTGATGTATACTTTTTCTGCCGATATCGTATTTGTGCTCCTTGATCATGTAGATAGATTTTGAGATGTGTAGCTGATGTTTTTACTGATTCTATTTTTATAGCCTGGTATGAGAGGTATTTCGTAAATAACTGCTGCTCTATTCCTATTTATTGAATCGTTATCGCTACTCAGGCATGGCGTTACGTCTGTTAGGCCTACTACCTTTCTGCCCTTGCATTTAGAGGCATTTCGGTATATGCTATCTAGAAGATGGTTTGATTGTTACTATAGCTTACAATTTTTAGTGCGCACAAATATATTATGTACGCAACACATAATAACAAATTTTCGGTAATATACTTACAAGGAGACGTCCAGATGTTCCGGTCTCCGATTCGAACGAAACAGCCGTAAACCCAAACAGATTCTTGGCCAAATATTAGGACCCGATTTCAAGCGTTTACGAAAAACGGACGACTGAAAATTGAGTATTTAGCTTATAAGTGTGGAAATTTCGCTTTCATTCGTAATTTCGATGGCCAAATAGCTAAGATACTAGGCGCAGTAGTTACATGCTGCCTGTTCGAGGCACTGTAATTTTAGTTTTTTTTTTTTTTAAATATGTAACAAGATTATTATTTTATCGTGTTACTAAAGTTATTCTTATTACTATTGTTATATCTCACGTTTAATTTAAAGCGTATAAAACAGGAATAAAAATCCTGACTTTATTTTTTGTTTGGGAAAAACGAAGTTACTGTGGATTTAACTCTTTTATTTCGTTAAATAAAACTTTTATTAAACGGCCGTCTCCTTGTTGGACCAATATGAATTTAATGGATCGTGTACATTGATCCCATTACTTGATTATGCAGATTACGAGTTAACTGAAGTATATTTCTAATAAAACTGTGTGGTAGTAAGATACCATGTAAGATGATAAAGTAAACATCGTAAAACACGAATCAACTGTGGTTTGCAATCGTAATCATCGAAATATCTATAAACTTTAATTGTAATTAAACAGCTGATTAATTTCTGAAACGTTTTTTCTAACATTTTCCATGACAAACGCTAATCTCGAAATCCGTGTCTTAATTTATGAACTATTAGGGGCAGTCAAATGAAAACGAAACAGATGGGAAAAAAGTAAGTAACTGTTTATTATTTCAAAAGTAATTGCCGTAACTGTTAATACATTTATCCCACTGTGAGACAAGACGGTCAATGCCTTCATAGAAAACCTACGGTTGCCTACGGAATCATGATTGTACCCAGGCGTGCACCTTTTCGTCCGAAGCAAATTGACGGCCACGAATGTCTTTCTTCGAGGCTCCAAAAATATGGAAATTGCATGGAGAGAAATCGAGACTGTATGGAGGATGTGTATGGACTACGCTGCAGAAGTTCCCAGCGAAACTTCTGCAGCGTAGTCAAAACAACCTTGGTAACATGTGGATGGGCATTATCCTGCAAAAGAATGATGTTGTTTGTCAACATTCCTGGGTGTTTGGATTTGATGGCACGCTTCAATTTTTGCAAAGTTTCTATGTACCACTGTGTGTTAATTGTGACGCCGTATTCCAGAAAGTCAACAAGCAGCGGACTTCCGTACTGACGATGGACGCACACACGACTCGCCGACCTCACTTCGAGCACGTCTAACAGACAAATGACACAGCGGTGAGCCTTCATGCTGTTCCTTCCTGATTCCCAGTAGAGGGCACTTCTATATACACACCTACCTGCATTATCAACATCCGTGCCACACTTGTTATATAGTTTGTCTCGTTTTCATTTGACTGCCCCTAATATTTTTTATAAGTTTACTTTCACAAAGTCTGTTGTCTTTACTGAAAAGTCTTCTGGTAATACAATCCTTTCGAAAATTTTTAAATTCTGTTTAATAATTTGTGTGATATTTGATATATACTTTTCGAAATTATGAAAAATTTAGGAGTTATCTACTGCTTACAAACTGCAATATTGTCTACAGCCATTCGCTTAAACAGTGGAAAGAACTGTAAATATAAAAACTTTTACACTAAATTAAATTTCTTATGAAAGAAGAATTAAATTGTTTACGGGTGATATAATCTTGTAGTTTATATTATGTTTCTTGTAAATAATTTTAATCAACAGAAATAAATTTGAATGATATTTTGATATAGATTATTTTTTCCAGAATACAAGAATAACTTCAATATGGAATTAGTCAACATAAGCAAACCTGTTCTGGATCCTTATCCATTTGAAACTAATATAGATAAAGAACTTCTAAAAACATTCCTTCGAAATTATTGGCATTATTCATTCTACATTGCTGCAATCTACCTTATAACTATCTACTTGCTTCGAGAATACATGAAATCCAAACCCGCCTTCGAACTCAAACGTGCTTCCTTCGTGTGGAATGGAATCCTCGCACTATTTAGCATCGTCACGACTTTAAGAGGATTTCCAGGAATGGTTTTCGTATTTCGCGATTATTCGTTTTATAATATAGTCTGCAATAGGTCGCTTTCAGTAGAAACACCGACGTTGATATTTTGGGGTACATTTTTTCTGTTTTCAAAAGTGTGGGAATTGGGAGATACTGTTCTGATTGTACTGAGAAAACGGAATCTGATGTTTCTGCATTGGTATCACCATGTGGTAACGTTAATTGTAATGTGGTATGCAGCATATAAGGAAGCATCTTTCGGAACTGTACTAAGTTATACAAATGTCTTTGTTCATTCTTTTATGTACACTTATTTTACTTTAAAATCAATCGATGTGAAGATTCCTGTAAAATATGCCATGTTCATCACGGCCATTCAAACTTTACAGATGTTATTCGGTGTTCTTCTTTCATTCTGGATATATTGGCTTCACTTAAATAATTATGAATGCCAAACTCCTAAAGAGTGTCTGGAAATCCTTTTCGTGGTGTATTTATCATATCTGTTGTTATTTAGTTACCTGTTTTATAATTCTTACATCAAACCTCGTTCGAGTAAGAAACACGACTAAAAATCATANTTTGGTTTAATTTGAGAAGTTTATTAATGTATAGCCTAATTGTTAAAATGAACATGATAATTCGTATGAGATAAATACTTCACTATAATGCACAAAAACAGCATAACTTACCGTGTCTCTACGTGGTTTTTCTTCTCTTAAAATTGTTCGCCAAGGCAAAATCATCTATGATCATTTCAAATCTGAATTTAAGCAAATGTTTATTTAATTAATAAATTCCTTGGTTATATTTCAGAAGTTTTCAATTAAGACGAAAATAAACACAATAATGTCTCAGTAATTTCAGAATATTTTTTCAAAAATAAATTATAAAGATTAACGGAAACCGCAGAGGTTTAAATTTACTTATGATAACTTTTCATGATTCTTTGAACATGAAAAGTTTAGCGTGTATAACTATTAGGGTTTAAATATTTTTATATACCGTAATTAGAAATAAGTAAATCATTATAGAATTGATTTTTTAAAATTTTTCTGCCCCGTGGGACTAAGAGGGCCTATTTTTTAGCAAGCCATTGTGGGTTCGACCAGACTGATACTGGGGTGGGCGATTAGTGAAGAACGGAGCTGGCCGTATAATCCATACGTTATTTGACTCGTTTTTGTTTTTTCTTGAAAAATGACAGAATTTCCATCTGAGAAAAAGGAAAACTTCGCCATTATCTCAAGACGGATCGCTAAGAAAGAAAATTAATCAGAAACGAAGAGAACGTCTCAAATGAGTCAATGGAACAGCTAATCTTGTCTTATATAAGTGTCGAAAAGGAGATTAACGTTAAAGAATGAATTCAACTTTTGTTGAAATTACAAGCTTCTTCAAATTGTAAATTACAAATACTTTTAAAGCGTTCAGATAGAATGCAAGCGTGGATTGAAAATATGCACTCTGTTTTGGTACATCTTGAATCCAAGCTCTCTATGTTAAAAGTGACAAATCAATTGCGGAAATTGATGCAAAATGTAATAATTTGCATGAAAAGTTAATTAGATTAGAAGATAGAAAAGAAATAATATTGTAATCTCAGGTATAGAGAATAATGATAACATGGACGATAGCTTATTTAAGGTTCAGAAACATTTTAATGATAAAGGATACGGATGTGAACATTGCTTGCTTCTAGAATTGGAAAATTTAAATCAAATGGAAAAAGATCAATTATTTGTGAGTTGATCAGTTATGAAGGTAAATTAAAAGTACTGTACATGTTAGTAATTTAAAATGTTTAAGTATATTCATTAACGATGATTACTCGACAAATACAAGAGCTATCAGAAACAAATTAAGTCTATATGGTAAAGAAATACGTTCAAAAGGAGCTAGGAATGTTAAATTGCGATGTAACAGATTAATTATAGACGATAAGAAGTTTGCGTGTAATTACAAAGATGAAATTTTTCAGACAGATGGAGAACAGTTTTTTTTTAAAAAAAAAATATTGCTTTTTATGTTATATAGTAATATATATTGTAAATAAACACGGCATTTGTTTATACAATAAATGTTTTTCTTATATAAAAAAGGGACGTTCTCTAGTCCCTTTTGAGGTTGACATTTAGTTCGCCAAATAACAGCTAGATGAAAGCGCGTTAACCACGAATAAACAGACGTCCTCGTCTTACGCCATGGCCCCATCTTGCACCACCTTCTCCTACAATATTATCAAAATTGGTGTGGTTATAATGGACTTCAAAAATATATAAATTTGAAGTTAAGTTGTTAGTTGAATTATGTTCTTACGTGTGAAGCACGTAAGAACATAATTCAACTAACAACTTAACTTGACAACTTAACTTAACTAACAACTTAACTTAACAACATAATTCAAGTAACAACACGCAGATGGCGATACGGAGCGTAAACACATGCAGTGTAATATAAATATATAAGCAAGAGATCGATAACTTCTTTCTCCTCAACTGTCGATTGTATGTTTAGGTTAGAAGCTTATTTTAAACAGTTTACTCACATTTTGTTTGAAGTCGCAATGTCTTCGGATAAAAAGCATAACGTGTATGGAGAAGATGATTCTAAGCTTCGAACTTGTCAAATATGGTTTAAACATTTCGTTCGGGAAATTTCGAACTAAAGAATACAAAACGTATGGGGCACCCAGAAGTTGACGACAAAGAAAAATTAAAGAAAGAAATTGTTAAACATACACGAATAACACACAACATATATAATGAAACACACCAAAAGTTAAGTGAAAAAACAGTAAAAACATTAAAGCATAGAGCGAGATACGACTGAAATGCTTAGCAGATGTTTAAGCAACCAACGCAGTTCGAACTGCGAGGCGAATTTTTGTTCGAACTCTGAAGTGTTCGAAGTTAGAATCATTATAGTAGAGGAGAAGGTGGTATTATGGAACACTGCGGGTATTATGGAACCACCCCATTTCGAACTGATAATAAAGGCGAACTGTAGCGGAATGTGGCTAAACTGAACTAGGCAGACATCCATAGCAAGGAAAAAACCCATTTTACTTCAGTTAAACGGTTGTCCGTATTTAATCAGCAAATTTGTTTTTTTTTTCAAAATTCGCAAGTTTTGAATGCTAAGTGAATTTAATTATTTTTAAAATATAAATCGTGTAGTTGTAGGTTCACTGGTGCATGTATTCCGTTCCAGAGACTTAGGGG